GTTAAAAACCGATTCAGGAGCTAGCCAACCCAGTAGCAGAACTAGAAAAACCAATGAACCATTACGAAGACTAATGCATGCTTTTCTCATAATACAAGTATGACAAAAAAAAGCTTTTTCTAGTCTATATACAATACATGAATTTAGAATGTGTTAGTATTGACATAGAGATCCGACCATAAACTAAATATAGACTTTTTAAAGTCGTTAAGTGCATATTAAAGTTTACCAAGTGGAAAGTAAGAAAATTACATATTCGTGCTGTAGATGAGTAGCCAAATAAAATACAATAAAATAATAGAAACTTTAATTTGTAAAATTTGCCAGTAAAATAAAACAAATTAGCAAAAATGTTTGGGCAAACAGTATTATCATGTAAGGGTACGATGGAAAAGCATAGAGGACACACATGATCACTCGGCAGCTTACCAGAACTAATATTACCGGATCTTGCTTTCTATAAATTTTATCGCCTTTACTCATGTTTTAAACAAGCTCTACCTACCCAAGTGGATAACCAGCATCAGGCCAACTAAGAGATATGACATTGACCACTCTAAATTATTCTATCGTGCTCTTGTTGAAATGATTGGCTATTGTTCGTCACACATTAGTGAGGAAATATTACCCTCATAACATCAGCTTTTATACATCTAGTTTCTAAAACCCTGTCTCCTTTGAATTGTCATATGCTGGAATTATTCTAATGTTATTACTTTCCAACTATATGCGCGACCGAACTGTAAGCCTGAAAACTGTGCAAAAGATAAAAGGACACATGGACAAAACAGATAAAGAAGTAACAAAATCAAGCATCACCGCAAGGTAGAGCTTCCATCTTACTAGCTCACTAGCAGAGGTTAGGATGATCCTCAAGTTTAGGAGGGCATCGATTAAACAAGAACCACTAGGCCAAGTAATTGGATAATATAGAAAAATATGATTAGAGCAGATGAGGTAAATATTATTATTAGAATGAAGCTGCCATTTCATAGGAGCACAAGAAGCTACCTCATCATCTGCAGTCCATCTCAATATCGAGGATAGTGTACTCGGATCTGTTGTAACTCGAAAGCCCTTCTCCTTTTTCTTGTATGCTGATATCAGTAGATTTTCTCTTGGAAGTGTGTGACGATAGATGGGCTCCAAATGACTATGTAAATGCTTTGGGATCCGCGAGCCAGGATACACATCAATAGAACCTGGATCAATCATAATATTTTCATTGAACCTGGTGAGAATCAAATAAATACAAGATAAGTTTACTACACATAAGGCAATTCAATTGCTTCTTGTGAAACATATTGTAACTTAATGAGATGTGGATGGAGACCTATGAACGAGATTCCCAATGGGTAAAACTCACAGATTATCAGCACCATTCATCATACACATCATTAAATTTATTTGGATCCACAAACAAAAAAAAAGGGTTCGAAAACCTATATATGGAGCAACAAGTTTCATGACGGTGTAGATCTCTTGACAACTTAAATATTATCCACCTCCTACACATCTTGATGTATATGGAAGATGTTAGATGATACTAATATGTATAACTATTAAGGTATTTGGGTAACTGAGTCAATATCCATATCCGCTTATGTAACCCTCCTAATCTCTATTTAAGCAAGGTTAAGGTTAGATAAAATAATAACTTTGCCTTCTCTATTTCTCTATATGGTATCACGGCCTATTTCCTAGTCCTACAAAACTCCTCTCTTTTTCCTAGATCTTAGACCGCCGATGGGATTTTGCTACCTCTATGTTCCCCGTGGTGGCGTCGACAAGATATTTAGCTTCAGCAACCTTGGGTTCAATAACCTCAGTCAAAAACCCTACCCTATAAAAAAACTTAAAAGCAATCGTGAAATTGTTCACTATGAACAGTAACAAATCTTGTGCCTTTCGTTGATTGTCTTCAACAACTTCAGATCCAATCTGAATCAGATCTACACCATCGGGTTTATATTGCACCTACATTAAATATGCGCAAGATCGCATCAACTCCGTCTTCGACAGAGCCGTTCAAGAACTTTTTGCTCCGTTCCTTCCAATTTGACACCATCGGGTCTATATTGCACCTACATTAAATATGCGCAAGATCGTATCAAACCCGTCTTCGACAGAGCCGTTCAAGAATTTTTTGCTCTGTTCCTTCCAATTTGAATTAGATCTGCACCATTGGGTTTATATTGAACCTACATTAAATATGTGCAAGATTGCATCAAATTCATCTTCGACAAAGCCGTTCAAGAACTTTCTACTATGTTCCTTCTGTAGATCAATCCAAGATCTATCTAGCCTGTGCCTTCTATAGATTGGGCGTCACTTCAATCACTCAAGCACAAATCTTTAATATTCTCTTACCGACATAGTAGCTGACTTGCCTAGGATTTCTACTAGCTACTCGCCTAACGTTTCTATCGGTTGTTCGCCTAGGGTTTTTATTAGCTTACTAGCCTAAGATTTTTACTGGCTATCCGCCTAGGTTTCCAACTTGCTTATCGCTTAGGATTTTACTAGCTTACTCAGCTAGGGTATCTTCTCACCTCGATATGTTCCTCTATTGAGGGTCTTCTATTTCTGGTTAGCTGATTATCTACTTATCACAAAAATGAGGATTTAGTTGTGATCTTTGTCTGACACTATTTTGGCTCTTGGCTTAGCTCGAGTTATTCTGCTTATGATTATACTTTTTTGGGTTACTACTTCGTGATATA